TTATCATCAATATTATTTAAGTGTATTAGGATTACTTTGTTGATCAAAGGTGATCTTGATAAATATTAAACAAGTAAGGAAGGTGTGGAGTACACACTTGTTTACGTTTGATCAAGTTTTCAAAGTACACTGTCATTTAGGGGCGAAACCCCTGAACGAACGAGGGTTAAGGGGCGGCAGCCCCTGGCGGGGTCTAAGGGGCGGCAGCCCCTGGCGGGGTCCAAGGGGCAGAGCCCTTGGCTGGGGTCGAGCTGAATTGTTTATATAGGGTATGTTGCTATATAAAAAAAATGCATCAGAAAATCGTATTTTCAAAGAACTGACCATCGTTTGACCCTTATCCAAACTTCCGTTTTATTTCGGTTTTTATAGTTTATGATAGTTTGAAACTGTCATATGATGGTTTTCAGACAAAGATCATAAATTCGGTTTTGGTCTCATTTTTTTGGTATAGACGAAACTATCATCAAAGCATTCTAAATTCTTGTCTCTCTGAGTCTTATCCGATTAAAAAATATTGGGAGTACCACCCAAATGCTTTAATCTGAAAGTGTTTTACATAATTCTCAGAATTCCAAGCCTTACAATACCCCAATTTCTAGCAAAGATTAAAGCATTTCTGTGATCATGACAAGTGGTGATTATGTGAAGGAAATGACTAGTAAGTTTGAAGAATTGAACAAGTTTGAAGGGCAAGATTTTCGTAGATGGTAGAAGAAGATGAAGATTCTCCTTGCCACTCTGAAAGTGGTGTATGTTTTGAGTACACCCATGCCAATCTTACCAAAATCTATTCAAGATGAACCTTTGGAGGGAAACAAAAAGAAGATCAAAGTGGGAAAATGATGATTACATATGTCGTGGTCATATTCTCAATGGTATGTCTGACTCTCTTTTTGATATTTATCAAAATTTCGAATCTGCAAAAGAACTATGGGATTCTCTTCAATCCAAGTATATGGCTGAAGATGCTTCTAGCAAGAAGTTTGTTGTTAGTAACTTCATGGGTTACAAGATGATTGACTCCAAGCCTGTTATGGAACAATACCATGAAATGTTAAGGATCCTGGGACAGTTTGCTCAACACAATCCGAAAATGGATGAAGCCATTGCTGTGATTGTGATCATTGACAAACAGTCCCCTTCCTGGAAGGATTTTAAACACAATCTGAAACATAACATAGAGGAATTGACTTTGACTCAACTTGGAAGCCATTTACAGATTGAAGAGTCCTTAAGGACTCAAGAACTTGATAACAATCCCAAAGGCAAGAACCAAGTTGGTTCCACTTCTGTGAACATGGTGGATAAAGAAGGATCAAAGAATCAAAAGAAGTTAAATGGAAAAAAGGAAGTCTAAAGGAAAGGATGAAAAGTCTTCCAACAACAAGGCTAAAGTGGTGTGTTGGAATTGTAACAAACCGGGTCACTTCAATAAAGATTATCGTTTGCGTAAAGTGAACAAGGATGGTGCAGGACCAAGTGGATCCAAGGATCCAAAAAAACAACAAGGTCAGAATCTCGTGTCTGAAATTGTATTAATTAATTATTGTTACAAACAAGTATTAGAAAGTGACAAGTATATCTTGTCAAGACATGGTTCTTTTATGGGATTTGGATATGTATGTAATGAAATGATTAGTCTAAATATTAATTATCCTTTTATTGATAATTCTGTTTGCATGGCTTCTACTAGTACTAGCAATAATTTTAATAAATATGAATTATAGCATGCTAGACTAGGACACATTCATTACAAGAGATTAAAATACATGTCTAAAATGAGTTTAATTCCATTTTTTGATATGCAAAATAATGGAAAATGTAAAACATGCATGCTAACTAGAATCACTAGACAACCTTTCAAAGATGTTGTTAGGGAAAGCAAGGTGTCGGATTTAATACATAGTGATTTATGTGATTTCAATGCAACACCTTCGCTTGGAAACAAAAAGTATGTTGTTACTTTTATTGATGATGCATTTAGATATTGTTATGTCTATTTGCTACATTCTAAGGATGGAGCACTTGATAAATTTAAATTTTATAAACAACAAGTTGAGCTTCATAAAAATGAATTAATAAAAGTCTTGCGTGCTGATAAAGGTGGTGAGTATTATGATCCAGTTTATTTTGAATCAACTGGAATAATACATCAAACCACAGCTCCTTATACACCACAACAAAATGGTGTAGCTGAAGGAAGAATGGGACTTTGAAAGAAATGGTTAATTCCGTGTTGTCCTATTATGGATTAAGTGAAGGGTTTTGGGGTGAGGCAATGTTAACTACATGTTACATCTTGAATATAACTCCAAATAAAAGGAGTAAGAATACTCCTTATGAACTTTGGTGTAAAAAGGTACCAAATTTGAGTTATCTCAAAGTTTGGGGTTATAGAGCAGTTGTAAGGCTCACTGAACCCAAAAGGAAAATGTTAGGTGAGAGAGGTATAGATTGTGTATTTATTGGATATGCTGAGCATTCAAAAGCATATAGATTCTATGTTTTAGAATCTAATGACTCTGTGTTTGTAAACACAGTGATAGAGTCAAGAGATGCTATTTTTGATGAAGAAAGATTTACATCTTTACCTAGACCAAGGGACATGATTCATCAATCTTCCAGCAAGAGTGCTACTCAAGCTGAAGATGTTTCTGGTGGTGCAAGTTCTATACCTGAACCTAGGAAAAGCACCAGAGCTAGAAAAGCTAAGTCTTTTGGATCTAATTTTCAACTGTATTTTGTTGAAGGAACAAGGAATGAGATTATTTCTCAACATCAGTATTGTTTAATATTGAAGATGATCTAAAGACTTTCAGTGAAGCTATGGCTTCTAGGGATGTTCATTTCTGGAAATAGGCAATTCATGATGAGATTGATTCTATCATGCATAAAAATACTTGGGTATTGGCTGATTTACCTCCTGGTTGAAAGGCATTAGGATGTAAATGGATCCTCAAAAGAAAAATGAAGGTGGATGGCACAATAGATAAGTATAAAGCCGGATTGGTTATCCAAGGATTTAGACAAAACGAAGGCATTGATTTCTTTGATACTTATGCTCTTGTTGCCAGAATTTCTACTATTAGATTATTATTAGCTCTTGCAACTATACATAATCTTGTGATTCACCAAATGGATGTGAAAACTGCATTTTTGCATGGTGACTTGGATGAGGAAATATACATGAAACAACCTGAAGGGCTTGTGATGCCTGGAGATGAACACAAAGTGTGCAAGTTGAAGAAATCATTATATAGTTTGAAACAAACACCAAAACAATGGCATCAAAAGTTTGATGATGTTGTTTTGTCTAGTGGTTTTGTATTAAACCAATCTGACAAGTGTGTATATAGCAAATTTGATACTTCTGGTAAAGGAGTCATGATTTGCTTATATGTAGATGAGATGTTGATTTTTGGTACTGATTTAGAAGAAGTTGATAAAACCAAGAAATTCTTATCATCTAGTTTTGATATGAAAGACATGGGGGAGGCTGGAGCAATTCTTGGTATAAGAATTAGAAAAGGAAACAATGGGATTTCAATTGCTCAATCTCATTATATTGAGAAGATATTGAAAAAGTTTAACTTTGAGAATTGTTCTCCTGTTAGCACTCCTATAGATCCTAGTCTTAAGCTTCTACCTAATCAAGGATCTCCAGTGTCTCAACTAGAATACTCAAGGGCTATTGGTTGTCTAATGTATGCCATGATTAGTACTAGGCCTGATATAGCATATGTTGTGGGAAGGCTTAGTAGATATACTAGTAATCCTAGTTCTCATCATTGGCAAGCCGTGAGTAAAGTATTCAAGTACTTAAAAGGGACCATGAATTATGGTTTAACTTATAGTAGATATCCTTCTATTTTAGAAGGTTATTCAGATGCCAGATAGATTAACAACTTAAAGGATCACTCCTCTACTAGTGGTTGGGTGTTTCTTCTTGGAGGAGGTGCCATTTCTTGGGCATTTATGAAACAAACTTGTATTACTAACTCAACCATGGAGTCTGAGTTTGTTGCTTTGTCTGTTGTTGGTAAAGAATCTGAGTAGCTAAGGAATTTGATTTATGAAATTCCATTATGGCCCAAACCGATATCTACCATTTCTATTAGATGTGATAGTGTTGCAACCTTAGCTAATGCTTATAGTCAAGTATACAATGGAAAGTCTAGACATTTAGGTGTTAGACATAACATGATTCGTGAGCTCATCATGACTGGTGTGATATCTGTGGAGTTTGTAAGAACTCAATTGAATTTAGCCGATCATCTAACCAAAGGGTTAGCAAGAGATCTTGTGCACAAGGCGGCTGTAGGGATGGGTTTAAAGTCCACTTAAAATCTTTTATATTGAGATACCCAATTCCCATCTAATGTGATATTAGATGTTGAATTCAATGTGGAAAGCTTGATATTTGAATATTGGAACACATTATTATCATCATCCCAAGGTATGTGTTCAGTACTGCAAGTAAAGGAGGTTGAATTTATATTCTTAATAGTTCTTTTGAAAAATTGCATTTGCAGGTGCAAGAATAAAAGGACTACCTATATAAGCATGAAGTTTAGTTGCTTCAAGAAGTTAGGACTTGGCTTTGATATGCTTATTGAAGGATGGGACACAAGGTAGTAAAATATAGGGTCAAGTTAGAACTTATGAGAATGTAAATTGTTGTGTGTATTATCTTCATGTATTCACTAAGGATAGAAAGTCTTCAATCCTTAGTGACACTCTGATATTCGAATATTTGGATTGTGTAATATACTAAGGTGAAATTCAATCATCACAATATTTCATTTATGCATCAGTTTGTTGGTGTTATGTTTCATTTTAAGTTAATCAAGATTACACTAAAATGGGGGAGGTTTGTTAGTGATTTGTTATCATCAATATTATTCAAGTGTAATGGGATTACTTTGTTGACCAAAGGTGATCTTGATAAATATTAAACAAATAAGGAATGTGTGGAGTACACACTTGTTTAAGTTTGATCAAGTTTTCAAAGTACACTGTCCGGGGGCAGCGCCCCTGGGAGCGGGGTCTAAGGGGCGGCAGCCCCTGGCGGGGTCCAAGGGGCAGAGCCCCTGGCTGGGGTCGAGCTGAATTTTTTATATAGGGTATGTTGCTATATAAAAAAAATGCATCAGAAAATCGTATTTTCAGAAAATTGACCATTGTTTGACCCTTATCCAAACTTCCATTTTATTTCGGTTTTTATAGTTTATGACAGTTTGAAACTGTCATATGACAGTTTTCAGACAAAGATCATAAATTCGGTTTTGGTCTCATTTTTCTGATACAGGCGAAACTATCATCAAAGCATTCTAAATTCTTGTCTCTCTGAGTCTTATCCGATTAAAGAATATTGGGAGTACCACCCAAATGCTTTAATCTGAAAGTGTTTTACACAATATCTCAAAATCCCAAGCCTTACTATACCCCAATTTCTAACACCACTAAGTTTCGTGCTTACAGTTTTCAATTTTAGTTTCAGGTACTTCCGCTAGTAAGGGGAAGAGCTCGGGATGACTGCATCGCACACACCATAACGTTTAGCATGGGATGATTTACTCTGATATTTGGACATGTGATTTTGATACAGTGTTTTGATATGATGTTTTGAAATATTATCACGTATGTTTTTATGAAATGACTTAGATTACTATGGTTTTATTTATAAATTAAAATGAAATTTTTAGATCGTATTTTTGGGATGTTTCATTTTGTACCCGACTTCTCACGTTTCTACATTTAGATGGAGCACCAGCAGGTTTTCTTTCAAACATCACGATGTTCACGTACTGGATTCGACCACCACATTTGACTCCTTGAAGAGTTTTCTCTAGCCCATGTTCGACTACGACCTTTTTGAATCTTACAAATGCAAAACACTTCGTCTTAGCATCCTTCTTTGTCACGATATAGACGTCCACCACCTTGCCAAACTTAGCAAAAGTCATCGTAAATGACGTCTTTTTATTACCTCTGGTGGAAGGTTCGACACGAACATCGTTGTAACACCAACGTGATTCCATGTTGGTCGATCGCCATTCATCGATAACTTCTTCCATTTTCTTCGTCTTGCTTCCTTCCATTCACCTTCCATGGTTCGGATCAATAATTTCTTAAAATTTTATTGTAACACAAGCAAGCCGAATATAAAATGAATTATTTGGGATACATAGTTATTAGAAGATACTGAGTTGAAGAAATCAAACCCAGTCCAAACTATGTCGTCCCGCAAGCAAATTGCGTAATAATAAATGTTTGATTTCCCAATTACAAGCTAAGTTAAATAAGCCTATTAATAACGTTAATTAAATACCCAAATTGCCCCAAAGTTAACGTTTTATTGGCCTTGCATTCAATCAGCTAAAAGCGAATCCTCCCAAAGGAACATCTACTAAATTAGACAGGAACATCTACTAAATTAGACAAAAAGATGAAATTATTAAATTCATCAGCCGTATACCGGCAAAAACCAGAACCAAAACGACGACGTTTACTCCATGCTAGTGTCATAATTGTTTCTGGCTTTGATTAATCCTTCTATCGAACTTTTTGGAATATTATTTTAACCACAACACACTCTGCACCGCATGTGCATGAATGTTAACCACATATTTACAAAGACATGAGAATGGCTTTATTTTAAGGAGATAATAAGTGTAGAGATAAATGTTAGTATAAGAGGAGAATTGAACGTTTTTCAAGAAAACTTGTAAGAGACTTACGTTTATTTAAGAAATAAATAAATGTTCTATTGAATATAATGTTTAGATTTTGTTTTGGATTTTGCATTTTATATTTGATTGATTGATTGATGATATATTCTTCATTGCTCAAAATTATAATTAAAGATTTAGAGAAGACTTTAAAATGATGTTGTTGGATTGATGTTAATAGGCCTTTGTCGTTATTATGGACTTCAAATAATAATAATAATAATAATAATAATAATAATAATTATGACATAGATAATTAAAAATGGTCGACGTTTACATCTATCAAACAAAACCTTTTAACATATTTTCTAAATTTATCATATTATTCGAAATGTCACATTTTGGACAATGGTTCCGAATTATAAAAACTCATTTAGAATTTAGAACATCCATTTCGGTTTTCAAACTAAATTTCACCTTAAGAAGTCATCTTTCACTTTTGGTGTGAATATATAGGTGGGATAAGTTATAGACAAATGATTTGGGCTAAAGAACTGTGTTTTGGGAGATTTAACATTTGGATAAGTTATTTAAAAAAGAATGCTTATGTACTCTATATCGGTTATTACTTGAAATTTTGCTCAATTTTTAGGTTACCGCAAACAATACTAGGTTTTGATGGTTAAATTGTAAACAAAATATCAATTATGTCTTTTTTTGTCAATTAGCCAAAATATATGTATTTTTTTTTCAATCCATAATAATTTTTAACCTCAAGTCCTATCTATTTTAAGATTAAATTAGAATATATTTTTATTGAAACAACAATTACAATATGTTTGATTTTTAATATATATGATAATCAATAAATACAATTCGTTAACTATACTTATAATTAATAAAATATATAAGCCAATTAAAATGTAAAAGTATATTGTTATGAAATGAATTGTCGGTTTTTGATGATGAAACTAAATCAGAATTTGATACGAAATACATCAACATACCAAGTATTTGGTTGGAAAATCTCCATGCGGGTTGGTATGTATCAAAAACACGATTAAAAAGAAGATGATATGCATATTAAAAAAAAAATTACAGTTACATAAAGAAGTTTTTAGACAATTATAAAACCACTGTTGATTGTTGATACTGGTAACCATTATGAAATTTCAAGAGAGAAAGAAGACAATACAACGTATGTTGTTTGGATTTATAAGATCGTAGGCATATTGTTATTAACGTGGTATATTGTAATCTATATTTTATATAAAGGGAAATCTTCAGAAGAATCCTAAAATTTTAGTCAAATTTATGAAAAAGTCTCAAACTAAATTTGGCTTATAGAAAAACACAAAGTATCGGCTAAAACTTCAAAAAAACTATTTTTAGCCGGTTTCGTAGATTTAGCCGGTATTCTATCCTTTCTCGTTAATTTGCTCAAAATATTAGGGTTTTTCGAAAATTACTTGATAACCAAAATATTATGACATTTCTGAAAATTACTATGGAATTAATGAATATTATTATTAACAAATCATTTATAAACATAACAAATATTTTTTATTATAAACAAAAGAAATACATTTGTTTCTAATTTCTGTGAACAGAATGTTGAGTAGGTCTATTATTTGTTGAAAACTTCAAACTTCTTCTGTTCCTCCTATGTATCGTTGCGGGTGCCATAGTTAGATGTACTATGTACGTTTCTTAAATTAAATACAAGAGTTGATAATATTTATTAATACACAATCAATAAGTGTCTACTTTTTATTAGGTGTGACGTTATAGAATCACATGTTATTAGAAAATATCATTACATAATGATTCTTAAACATATAGATTTTTCATTATGTTATTTAACCTAAATACCACCTAACCTCCATACATTATTTGGTAACAACCATCAAATTACACACATGGTGAGAAATCAACTTTGAATAGCAATTTAAATAGATAATCACCCTACACTTGTTTCCATATAAACTATCATTCACAATTCACTTTTTCATATTTGATAGATGTGTGTTAGCCTATTGTTGTTACCGTGTGAGGTATGGATGTTAGGTTGTAGTTAGGTTAAACAACATAAGAAGAATTCCAACATTAGAGGATCACTCACTAAGTACATCTTACAATCATACTAACAACGATGCATATGAGGAACATAGAGAGTTTGATGTGGTCAATAAGTAATATAGGGGTATTTACACTACCAATTTATTCCTAGAAATTAGCAACAAATGTATTTTTTTATAATATAAATATTTGTTATGTTTATAAATGATTTTTTAATAATAATATCCATTAATTCCATGGTAATTTTAAGAAAAGTCTCAATATTTTGGTTATCAGGTAGTTTCCAAAAAAATCCCAAAAGTTTTAAGCAAACTAACGAAAAAAATAGAATACCGACTAAATCTGCATAACCGGCCGAAAAGGGTTTTTTCGACGTTTTAACTGGTATTTTGTGTTTTTGTGTAAACAAAATTTAGTTTGAGACTTTATCATAAATTAAACTAATATTTTAGGATTTTTCTAGAGATTTCCCTTTTATAAATTAAAAATATTTATTATTGAGTTATCGTAAAAATAGAGTTTCTATGTCATGCAGACAAGACTGTTTTCATCTTCTGAATCAATCTATGGATGAATTAATACATTATTTTCAACAATGTACTTGGTATGTGGGTGCATATTTCGTATCAAATTTTGATTTAGTGCCATCATCAAAAAGTGACAGATAAATTACATAATGAATATATTTAAATATTTTAATCGGGTTTTATATTTTATTAAATAGAAGTATAAATTAAAAAATTATGTTTATTTATTATCATATATTAAAAATAAAATAAAAAATCTAATGGTTGTTTCAACAAAAATAGATTAATTTAGAGTCTGTTTCAAAAAAAAAAGATTTCAGTAACTTAGGATTTCTAAGTTTTCAAAACTCTTTATAACTTTTTAGGTTGAAAAAGTCAAATACTCCTTAAAACATGTGCAAGTTAAGATAAACATTTTTAAAAAAATAACAGTAACGATGAGATTTTCAAAACAAAATTTTCATTTTTTGACAACCATATTTAAGTAAAAATATTCTCAAAAGTATCCAACAATAGTTATCAAAACATAATATATCCCAAGATCACAAAAATCAAATCCCTTCTCTGATGTGTACGGCTCACGCCAGCGCCTTCCTACGGTCCTCGCTAGTATCTGAAACACATAACACAACAACTGTAAGCATAAATGCTTAGTGAGTTCCCCAAAATACCACATACAACACATACGCCACTCGAGGCTACTGTACCACCCTCCGGTCGATGTGTCTCAGTGGTACCCTCCGATCCCTTAGCTCGTTGGACCCTCTGGTCCGGTCATAGCTCGTTGGGTCGTCCGGCCCGGTCTGTCTCGTTGGACCCTCCAGTCCGGTCTATACAATATATATTATACATACATCACATAGCACATAATCTCATACATGTTACACAATCTCATACATAGCACATAACACCTTCCGGTCAACTCATAATACCACTCTAGGTAATATATAGTGAGAAAACTCACCTTGCGTAACTCGGTAACTCGGAAATCTCGGACTCCGTGGAAATGGGATCTAGCCTCCGCCTAATCATACGAAATAAACACTCGACGTCAACACATTTCCCAAGGCTAGACCATTCCCTCTCTTAGCACTCTCAGGGAGTAAAAGACCATTTTACCCCTCTCAAGGCTCAAATACTCTAAAATTGACCAAACCCTAAAAGTCAACAAAAGTCAACCTTCTGGGGTACGCGGCGCGTACCAGATCTGTACGCTAAGCATACCCGTTGGCTTCACAGAAACGGGGTACGCGGCTCCTTACGTCGCGCGTACTGGGATTACGCCCAACGTAAGCCCCAATTTTCTCATCCTCTTCATTTAGGTCTTAATCGGTTAAGTCTTGCTTCCAAAATCCATATCTAACTTCTCTAACACGACTTAATCCATAAAGTTGGTGACTTTAAGCCTGTGCATGGCTGTGGAAGTCACAAACACCCAAAACATTCTATTTCCAACCTTTAAAGGTCCATATCTCATGCTTGAACAACTTTTAACAACCAAGACTGGATTTTTATCACATTACAACACTAAAGGAGCTAGTATGGGATAGATCTCGGCTTCTAAGAGCTCAACCACTCAAAAAGCTATGAACTTGGGGACCAAAAACCCCAAAAGTTCTCTCTATAAAGCATGAACAGAAAAGATGCAAAGCTTGAAGCTTTTTACCTCAAAAGGGATCTCCCAACACTATAGAACTCGGATCTACCCTTGCCCTTCCACCTCTAGCTCCAACAATGGCTTCCTCTTCTCCTTCTTCACCTCAAAAAGGTACCTTCAAGCTCAAGAACACACACAAAAGCTTATACATGGATTTATGCACTCTA